ACTGGCCCTTTAAAGATGTCCCCTCTTTCTGTTTCCTTTTCAACTATTTATTCAGTCTAAACCCCTTACCATTTTTGTTTTGTTTTTTGTTTTGTGAATAGATTCTTTTCTTTTCATATTTTTAAGTTTTTGATGTACCCACGTAATAAAATATACAAAGAAACAGTTAAAAGAAAAATAATGTAACAAAAACATCACCCGATACACTAGTAAAGTTATGATGTAATATGCAACATAATACATATGTATTGACAAAGATCAATTTTTTTTTTTAGATGAACACAAAATACAAAAGCTTTGTTTTAGCCAATTACTATATTGTTCTGTAAGAATACAATTTCTGTAACAATAACAGTATATTAAGACTATTATGCACCTTAAATGCACTTTTGTTTTTATTTTGTTTGTTTGTTTTATGTTTTGTTTTCATTTTTTGTTGTTTATATAACCTAACCCCCTGGCATGTTTGTTTGAATTTTGCATTGTGGTTATTCTTACTGGTTTAATGAGCGACATGTGCAATTTGTTTGATAAATTAAAAAATAAATTCATTAATTTAAAAATTAAAATAATAACAATAATTATTGTATTAAGACTTCTGGTGAACAGAATTAATCATTTTCTTTCTATGTTATAAATATGGAGGAATATGGTGGTTAGAAATTACTTTAAAAATCACTAAAACTGGCTGTCAGTTTAACAACCTGTCATGCAAATCATGAGTGTTTATGCCCTCCTGTGGTCACAATGAGTAACTGCAACAGCACTCTACTATCAAGTTAGACACAATTCTACAACCCTACTTCCGGTCAAAACTGTCAAAATAAAACATATAGCGGTTGAGAGGTGTAGTTGCGCACTGTGACCACTGGAGGGCAGATAACGTGTACAGGAGGGCGTATCAATAATTTACCAGGATCTGGCTGGCCAAATTATTTAATTATTTGGGAATTCAACCTCACGGAGCCCAAATAAAGTTAGTTAGTTGTACAAGTTAGTTTTTTTTTCATTATGTTAGCCCAAGTATTGATGAACTTGAAAAAAATAATTCATACAACAATAATATTTTTTGTATTTGTTTTAAAATTTTATAATAGATGCAGCCTTGTTGTTTGAACACGGGGTGGCGCCTAGAGCAGGAAAACTCAGGTAATAGCGGTCAGGTGCAGGTGATGACTAGCAGGTGTGTGACGGGCCTTGAAGTGTGGCAGCACGAGGAGTCTGTAGCGTGGAAAGTAAAACTGATGAATGGAAGCCAGGACACTTAACTGCTCTGAAACTGTACCTGAGATTAATTATGGACAGACAATGTTTTACTTGTGTGGGGTGAGCACGTGAAAATAAATGGGTCACCACACTCAAAGAAACTTTAGGAATAGCTCTGACTTGTGATGGCATAATGCATAATTAAATTCACAAGTTATTACATGGCTGACTGGTAAAACAAACTTAAAACAACACAGATTAAATGGAAAAGTACTTACATTAGTAGACTGGGCTACATTCGTGCTGCTCTCTCTGCCAGTGTAGTGACTTTTTAACAACACAAAATGTCTAAACAAGCCACTGAGGGGCGAACAGGTGAACTTTTTTGGATTTGGCGATCCATTTATTCTCAATACAATATATAGGCTACACGCCCACCATAACACACAAGGGCGACAGCATTGTCCATGTTATTTTATTATTATTATTATTATTATTATTATTATTATTATTATATTCAGCAATTCAGCTTTACGCCCATACTTAATACTTCTCAACGTGCTTCCGCAACACGGTCAAAAACTGTCTGCTTTCCCATTCCAAAAGCGAGTAAAGATAATTTTGATCCCTTCGGCTTCCGTACAATTACATGTGAGAATGCGGAAGCTCCTTTGACAGCTGGGCGTGCCAGCTTGTAACAAAATAATAAAAGTGATGCTTCCAACAGAAGTCTTCCTGTGACGGAGAGACTCCTGACCACTCGAGGACCATCTGGAAATTGTCTGTCAGTAAGCAGAGGGTGAGTCTCACGGCTGAGTTTTATTAAGTGGTTTGTGGACAGTTGGTGTTACAGAATAAAGTTGGTTCAGTCTGTAGGCACATAGATTCTTACAATCTGTTTTACCTGACAGGTTAATCGGGATAGCTGGCATTGTGTTAGAGGGGAAAAGACAGAGTTCAACCTGGCTGACTCATGGTCTGGCCTTATGAGCAGAGTATATCTAAATACTAGTGTAGGTAATTGTAAGTATAATATATCTACATTACGCAACATAATATGAAAGTTAGTTTTCTTGTACTAAGACTAGTATTGACTATTTCCGCTTTTTTTTTTTTTTTACTAAATCTGGAAGTTTATTATTGTCTTGAATGTGTGACATTTTGTAAATACATTTGGTCTGCACACACTATCAACGATGCAGCCACTTTTAACAAAACCCTGATTATTAACAGTGTTGGGAAGGTTACTTTTAATATGCAATAGGTGACAGATTACTAGTTACCCTGTTAAAATGTTATAAGTAATGAAACTATTTTAAGAAATTCAAATTGTAGTAACCTATGTTTCAATTTCAGTTTTATTCACAAAAGAAAACATAAGTGCAATTCATAAGAAACAATGGAGATGTATATACAGTAACATTTATAACTTACAGAACTCCTAAGACTAACCAAAAAATCTAAACTAACCTAATGCCAACTACTATATCTTCCCAAGACATTTATTCCATCAGTCTAAACATTGGTAATGTAAATGGATATGAGGGTAACTGGTTAAGCTTTTAATTTTAAATTTTAGGGATGCACAATATTGGATTTTTTGCTGATATCTGATATGCTGATATGTAACAACTCGCTTGACTGATAACCAATACCAATATCGATGTGTCATCTTTTTTCCCCACCTAACTTTAGTGATCAGTCTCTTCTGTAGAGGAATTAACATCATACTATGCATGCATACTAATATCGAGTCATGAAATACAATACTTTTCAATGTATGTAATGTTCATTCATCGTGCTAATTAGGAAAAAGCATGTTAGCCAATTGTAACTGATTACACTTACAATTATCCTGTAATTAGTTACTCCCCAACTCTGATTACTAATGATAACAACCACTGCTTTGCATTGATATAACTAATATATTTAGGTGGGTAGAGGTTAGGGTAGTTGAACCAATTGTTAAAAAATGAATTTAATTAAATCTTTCTAGTCTGTTAAATGTTTGCTGAACTAAAGACTGAGTCTTACTGGTTTGGAAATGGCCTTAATATATCGAGAGAGTGAGATACAGATAAAGATATGAAAGCATTATTTTAAGTTTGCAATGTAATGATTCATGCTCTGCCTTCCTGTTTTTGTAGAAACAATGGCATCAGAAACCCCCCTATCCAAAGCCAACACCACCTTCTCCCTGGCTTTGCTCAAAAAGCTGGGCGATGACGACAACACCAAGAATATCTTCTTCTCCCCTTTCAGCATCTCCTCAGCCCTGGCTATGGTGATGCTGGGGTCTGGGGGCAACACAGCCGCACAGATGTCAGAGGTACATCACACACACACACACACACACATCCACCAAATGTGTTTGTGAAAAGTAACAGACTAGCATTAATGGCATTGCAGGGTAGTGCACCTGGTCCTGCGTGATTTCGTGAGGCTTATAATCAGTGTTTTACCTGCTGGACAAAGTGATGCAGATTTCACACTATTAAAACACTATACAAACTCTGTCTTCTCACATAACATTAACCCAGCACTTCTCTAAGACAGTTACAAGCAACACTGAAGATAGTGGGATAAATTTCATAGGAATAAAGGGCATAGTGGTAGGCGTGCATGCTCTCATTCAGCATGAATCACCAGCTTTTTCTTTCAGCGTCAGCTACAAAAGATAACAAATATCTCTTCTGTTCAGGCTCTGACTAGATTTTATGAGGGGGTGGCGCTCTGTTGTGTTACTATAGAAACATGAAACATAATATGGAAGTGTAAGGGCTGTAAAGATATAGGTGAAGTAGTCTGTACACCTTATCAGTTGCCTTTATGTTGCAGCCTGGGTGTCATAAAAGAGCAGTTTTTAAAGTTGAGTTGCTGCCAGATGGAAGACAAGTTGCAGTCCTCTTTAATGCAACTCAGTTAATCCAGACTAGACAATAAATAGTAATGACTATTATTAACATTACAATCACAGCTTTCAGTTTTACTGTGCTCCTGTGCACAATGCAGATACAGCAAGTGTAGAATAAATTCCTAAGTTTGTGGTTCCTTTGGAAAAAGCATTGTCAGAGCTTAATCTGTGTCTATTCTGTGGTTTTGGGATATGGAGATAGTCATGCATGTACAGTAATATACTTTGTTCAGTAGGATAATGACTGATTTATACTCTTACATCTTGAGGAGAATAAAACCCATCACATAGTGGCGGTTTGTGCACCAATAGAAACAGCAGAAGAGCCTTGGCAATAACCAGTACAGTGAGATATTGAGTAAAGGTAGTTTGAAAGTTTAGGTGGAAGTTAACATGATGAAAAACATGAACAGTTGGTGACATTTTTTCTAAAGGATTTCTAAAGCAAAGCCACACCCAGGTTACTCCGGGTTGGTGGAAGTGTGAGTGTGTGGGAGGGGCAGGGCTCCACCCAAAATGCGCCATGTTTCCTCCAGAAATTACAGAAGAATGTTACAGAAGTAAGTGATTACAACATATCAGAGCTGCACCAAGAATGAAGGCAGGGGAGGGTCATGAGTTGAGGTTATAAAACTGTGTCTGCACTGAAAGACTTGGTCAGTGAGAGAGAGAGTGGGTGTGTGATTGCATATGCATGAAAGGGAGCAGAGGTGACTGCAACATGTGGTTGCTTGGGTTTTTTAGCAGCCAGTTACCAGAAAGTCCTGTTGTGTAAAGTAGTAACTTGGATATTAACCCAGCTGGCCAACATTTTCTCTACAGATGCTGCAGTCCGTTGAGAGGAATATACACCCTAACCCTAACCCACACCCACACCAACAACTTTTTTTCAGTCAGTTGGCTTGAACATGTTGCCCTACTATAATTGCTGTACATAACAAGAACATGAGAATCAATAAAACATATTGGTAAGCTAAATAAACCTGTCATACTTAAAGCTACAGTTGGTAACTTTTATAAAGATAGCTTTTTGTCATATCTGCTGAAACTATCACTATGTCTTGACAGTACATGGGACGGATAAGTGAAAAAAAATCAAACTAGGCAGTGCTAGTCAAATATGAATCAAGATTCTGTTACTGCATTGCCTGTTTCTCACTTCAGAAGTTTTTGGAAACATATTTTAGTGCACTGTTTAACTGAAATCACTCCACTACTACTGCCTGGATATAATGATAGTAAGCATAATTTTATTAAATATGATAAAAATGTACTTTAACAAATGGTTATCTAAAAATATTTCTGGAAGCATAACTTCAGCTCTACAACCGAGATGTCTTGTTGAATTGTTCTAAGCGAGTGGTTTCTACTTTTTCTGTCTGTTTATGCCCCGCTGCCCTGTCTGTTGCATCAAAGTACCCCTTCATCAACACCACCTATCATGTTCCAGATTTGTTCATTAAAATCAATTTTAAACTCAATGATTGGGTTACTTTGGTCCAGTTTCCATGCATTCTACTACCACTTGCAGTCAAGATAACTCAACAGATTTGTGTAGGAAAGTGATGTACATTCACAGGTTTGAAGATGGTCTTTGCACTGTGAACGATGTGTATTTTGATGAAATAGGTAGCCACAATAGTCATCTCCTTATTTCTTTTTGCGGGAGAGAGATAACGGCATTGAAGTGTTTTGTACTCACTTCTCTTTGATCTGCTGTTTAACTTGGCATCATTTCTGATCCATCTTCCCAATCTAAGGCTAATGTACTGTGCAAGGCCTGAGGGATAGGACTTAACCCACAGATCACTGCTGGAAAAATATTACAACTTCTTATACGCAACTAGAGACACATGCCGTCTAACTTTACAGTTCCGGTTGCACCCCTAGGTCCTTTGCTTCACTGAGGCAGAGAAGCCACAGCACGCAGGAGCACAGCAGATGCAAATGCTCCAGCAGCAGCAGGTCCAGACCAAAGTGCCACTGCATCTGCTGAAGGTGGTAACAAAGTCAACAGTAGAGGGATGATGAACTGACTGAAGGGAATTTTACTAACGGTGTGGTGTCATCTGGTGAGGGGATCCTTGGAGACAAAGAGATGGTGGCTCCAGAGAGAATTTCATGCTTTCACCCTGCTTTGCTTACCCTGCTTTGTCTTGAACGGAATTGGGAGGAGAAAAAAACAGTAATGCAGAGGAGCGGCCCTCGTGGTATGCTGTTTACTGAAGGTTAAGTGTGTGTGTCCAACAGCTAGAAGCCCAATAGTATTACATAATACGCAGGAATGTAGTCCTGGCTTTTCTATTTGTTTTTTTTCCTGGTGTGCTTTTTATCTCTTATAAGCAGCTGCTGGAAACCAGAGTGTGATTAGACTGGACCTTCACTTAAAGAAATGATGACAGCAAAACGCATTTCGAAAATAGAGCTGTTTTCCTTTATCTCTCATCCCAGTGTCTTACTCTGATAATGCTCTTATGTGGTTAACACCAAATTTAGTCAACATGACTTCCTACTGAAATGTTTCTGTCTTGCTGATGAACGCACACCAGCTAAACATACCATCCTGAATTCAGCTAAATAAAAGCACGGGTATTTGTTTTTTAAGCTAACAATATAAATAAAAACATGGTGGCGGGATGGCGTGTCTTCACATGAGTGTTTCTGTAAAGGCTTGTCAAAGCTTGGGCAGACATTTTCTATGGGTTCTTTAAAGGCAGTGTTGAAGGATAACTTTGGCAATTTTCAACCGTAGCCTTATTGTCCCATCTTTTTCGTCTAAGTAATTAACTGTAACAACTGCATTTGAAATCTGTCCAGTATTGAACAAGAGGGTTACAGCCGGCAGTGGCAAAACAGGCTGCAATGGAACCGCTAGGGGTATTTGTGCACTGTCAGTCTAGGTCCACTAGAAGTGCTTGTTTTTACCACTGACAGGCTCAGATTATTGTAAGTGTCTGACAACATTATGGAAAGAATCTTCACAGAGATAGACAACTTTTTTGTTTAACCATAAACAGCCCTGAAATTGCTATTTCCAAAACCTCCAGACTGGAGTTTCGCATGTGTCGAGCCAGCATGCTTAGCAAGATGGTTTTAGTGAGTTCAAGGTCCAAACACTTTGATATATCCAGCATCATACTTGTGTTTGGCCATGTCGTCAAGCTAGTTTCCTGTCTTTGTCAAGTAGCTGTCCATTAGTCACTCACTCTACAGCAGAAAACAGCACTTTAAAATAAAAGCTCTGTGCTAGAAATTCATTGTACTTAAAAATAAAGTGGTTTTTTTTTCCTTTGGGTTGGGTTGGGTATTTTTTTTTTACAATCGTGACACATTTGGGAGTCACTTTTGGTCCATTCAGAATGAATGACCCACCAGCTAGGAACTACTGGTTTAGACTGAGTCTGGAGGGTGTGGCGATGGCAATTTCTGCTGCTGTTTCTGGATAAACAAAAAGGATCTTACTCTTTAACAAAGCAAAAGTCTTTCTTTGTATGTATCCTTTACATTATGTTGTCCCCGTCCCAAGTGTTTACATTGCAGCCGGTTTCACTGGCTGCAGCTCTCTTGCTCAATACTGTACCAGCTATAAAACAATGTGTTTCCCATTAGTCACTTAGACACAAAGCCATGGGAAAATATGGTTCAGGTTGAAAAATACTGAAGTGATCCCTTTACCTTTTCCATGTCAGACTTTTATTGTATTTTTTTTTCTTCCATATTTTAGTCCATGTTGGGATGCCGTGCAGAAACATTGACATGTCAATAATATGGGTGTTCTCAGATACGATAAATAATAAATAAAATATATAATAAATATACAATATACTGTATGGAGCACACTGCAAAAAATGTACCACCTTACCCATTAAGTGATGAGAAAGTCCATCCATTTCTTCCCAGTATTACATTATAGAACAGTCTATGTCTGATATACATTGTTATATGCTGATTCTGTGTGCACATCCAAATGTTACATACCTGATGAAAAAAAGAGGAATGGCTTTACAAGAGAGAGCTTAACACCCAAATCTACTCAGTATGTACTCAGTTACCCATCATCGTTTAACATAATGTATACAATTGTGCAGCATGGAGAACTAAACCCAACAATCTATAAGGCAACCTTGATTATTTTGACTAGTCTCATCACTTAATAGGCAAGATGACCAGTCTAATATACACTTTATAATAGACTGGTCTGTCACATGCTCACTGCATCTCTGTAACACTTGTCTACTTTGTCCACAGTGCCTGAAAACCAAGGATTGTAAGGATGATGTCCATGCTGGCTTTGCCCAACTGCTGAGTGCAGTCAACAAGGCTGATGCTCCGTATGCCCTCAGTGTTGCCAACAGGCTGTATGGGGAGCAGTCCTACAAGTTTGTTGAGGTGCGTGTTTCATCATGTAAATGTGTGTATATGTCTTAGTGGGTAGGTGTAGTTTTGTTTACATATTATTAGGCTGGAGGCACAGATAAGAATCTTTTTAGGTTTTGTGAGAAGGAATGATGAATGAGGGGGTGGACAGCAGGCCAGCATACAAGCAAGTTAAGCCGTGACTGTGAGAATACTTTTGTGGCTGTAATGACTTTTAATTCCGCAAGCTGAAGTTGAGCAAAAATTTTGTTGTTTGGATGATCACAAACTGTAAATGTGATGTTGATGGTTCCAGGATTTCCTGGAAAAAACCAGGAAGCACTACAACGCAGAGCTGGAGTCTGTGGACTTCATAAGCAGCTCAGAGGCAGCCAGGGTGAACATCAACAGCTGGGTGCTCGAGAAGACACAAGGTAGATCACACACTACCATACACACATCAAACATGGACATATGACAACTGAGCTTGCCATTTCTCAGACATGCTTTCAGTTGTGTGATACTTCACTTATGGGTCAATTTTGTCTACCAGGTAAAATTAAGGACGTGCTGGCCAAGGGTGTGGTGGACAACATGACCAGGCTGGTGCTGGTCAATGCCATCTACTTCAAAGGCCACTGGAACAAACAGTTTAAGGTGGACTCCACACGGGACGCTCAGTTTAGACTCAACAAGGTAACACTGCTCAAATGACTAACACTGATTTAAAAACCCAGACTTTCTGACTGTAGCTGACTTTTGTTAAATGGTACATTTAGGCCATGTACACTAATTCTGACTTTGTTACTTAAAGTGTGGAAAAAGAGTGAATGAAAAGATTTCAACATCAGGGCCATGACAGGAAATGTGATCATATCAAATGGTGAAAACCAGGGTCAAAGAGCGTGAAATCTGATTACGTAATAAAAGTTCATTTGTCGAACACTTCTGTATTGCATGCTAGTTAGGACTAGTAGGGAGTGATGATTGCTCTTCTTAGACCACATGTTGTTGGTAAGAAAATGTTTGCTGCTCAAGTAAACACAGAGTTTGGGTCAGTAGACATCCCCACGCAGTGGTACGATCCATCTGATCAGATACTGTGTAATTTTTTTGATAAATGGTTCACCAACAAAAAACGAGGTTAAGACATTTGTCTTTGCCCCGAGTGATAAAAAGTGATTTAGCTGTGATCTGGTGGACAAACATCTTACCTTGTTACTGTAACAACTTTTCAAGCAGGGATTAGCAATCCTGTTATACCAAGGAAATCGTTGTGATTCATTTTAACATCCAAAATATACTGTAGCTTTATGCAGCTTTAGTATTGTGTATTGAAGAGTAAAGGCCAAATTTTTGCACATTCAAAAATAAATACGGCCTTACGTTATGTCAATCAGGTTTGCAAACCGACCCCAAATTTTTGTCCATCAGCACAGGTTCGATTTTCTGTGATTTTTCTCATCCATATATAGCCTTTGGAGAGTTGTTTGACCAAGAAGCAGTGGAGAAAATGTGGCGTGACCTGCAGGACACATACACCTGCAACACGAGTGAGGGACAGAGTGCATAATATCATTTCATAACTTTGATAGCCTGCTTTCAACAGGTCAGATAGTGATATTCAGGTTGATGATGGTGACGAGGAGGAAGATGCGGACTCCACACAAACAATGAGTGACAGTGTTGAGACAGAGAGGGAGGACAGCTCAGCTCTTTCAGGTAGCCGTGGTGCCAAATGCAGCAGGGTGAGAGTGGCGACAGGTGGGAGATACCTCCAGAGGAGAGAAGCAAGGCAGCAAAAGTATTTTTCCATTTTGTTTCATATTGCAATTTTTTGCAAAAAAAAAAAAAAAATAGAACAATCAAATGCATCAGACTCAGTGTGCAAGGTTTCTGTGTGTAACGTTTTGTTTTATTTTTCTTTTTTTCTCTCTGAAAGACAGATTAAAAGGCAAAACGCATACGGGGAAAAAAAAGAGGCTTGGTGTGCAAAGGTCTTAACATTGTCTTTAATTGGATACTTCTGTTGTTGTACACTTGGCAGATAGTACACTTGTACACTTGCACTTTGATAGGGTAGTGTTGCCTCAAATCAAACATAGCCACTTTCCGGAGGTGATGATTCTTCTTCTACTCAGTGAATTGCAGCCAAACATACATAAACACCAAACAGAACATATGGCCTTAGATCGTATAGCTTACACCAAAACATGTAAAAACAATGCCCGATGATAAAATGTGCCACCCTTAGCTAGCTAGCAAGCTAACAGTAACATGTATGCTATTGTTCGCGGTACAGAATTACAACAAAATTAACCTAATAAAACTAATGGCTTCTATCTGACAACAGTGTAGTGGTGGTGAAAGAAAACAGGTTTGAAATGTGTGTATGGTCCCGTCCCTTCTGCCACGTTGGCAACATGACCACCATTGAGGGCGTGAAGTGTTAAACGTTCCCTACTCAACTTTTTGACTGTTATGAGTGCACCATTGTGTACCCATAGTGCACTGTATTTTGCCGTACTTCTCAGTGTAAATGCATTCAAGCATTTAAAATAGCAAGTGTAAGTACAGGAGTATCTGATTTGAGACACAGTTTAACTTAATACTAGGCTGAAGAGCAGTGTTTTGCTGCCCCCTCTGGTTAGAAGTTTCAAGTATGTTGCACCTCTGGCCACACCTGACAGCTAATGCCACTGCGCACTGACCACACCCTGCCATACATATCTGCATCACTGTAATAAGGTGATGTGTACAAGACATCAGGTCTTTAAGCTCACATATTTTTCTGTTTGCTGTTTTCAGAATGACACCAAGCCAGTGAAGATGATGCACCAGAAATCCAAGTTCCCTTTGACCTACATCCCTGAAGCCAACTGCCAGGTAATGAAGCAATTCACTTAATCAATCAATACAGCATTTCAGTCAATACATCTGTCAGTCCCTCAACCAGATGTTTACTGATAAGGCGGCAATCAAACCAATCATGTATAACCTTTGTTGATGAGGTTAGGCAGTACATATATTTTTCATATAATGTTTGAAACCATCTGTTGTACAGGTCTTAGAGATGCCTTACAAAGGAAAGGAGCTCAGCATGCTCATCTTTTTACCCAATGTGATGGAGGACAGTTCAACAGGTCTGGAGAAGGTAGGACACACACACACACACACTTGCACATGCATACATAAGGAACCCCACAAGACAAAGAAAACCTTTTTTTGTGTCCACCACCAGCTGGAGAAGGAGCTGACATATGAGAACTTTGTGGAGTGGTCTCGTCCAGATATGATGGATGAAATTGAGGTCACGGTTGAGCTGCCCCGGTTCAAGATGGAGGAGAATTATGACTTGAAGAATGTCCTGGTCAGCATGGGCATGGTGGATGCCTTTGACATGGCAATGAGTGATTTCTCTGGTAGGACTTGTGCCTGGATCATATCGCATATATTCATAATCTGAACTTGTTCCTGTCAATGTGCTCAACATTAGTGTCATGAAGAGTAGGGTTGGCATTGTATATTTTCTTTAAATAATCTATTTCCTTTTTTCTTTGACAGGCATGTCTCCCGCCAATGACCTGGTGCTGTCAAAAGTCGTCCACAAGGCTTTTGTGGAGGTCAACGAAGAGGGAACTGAGGCAGCTGCTGCCACTGCTGCTGTCATGATGCTGCGCTGTGCCATGATGCCAGCCACCTTCATCGCAGACCACCCCTTCCTCTTCTTCATCCGACATAACCCGTCCATGAGCGTCCTCTTTGCTGGTCGATACTGCTCTCCTGAGTGAGCACAGAGAGGTGTTTCTCAACTGGAAGGGGGGTTACAATACATCAATTAATGCAATAGTATAACATTTTCTTAGATAATACTGGAAGAATGTTGAGAATCACCATTCTGGGGTTTCCTGTAGCTAATCACATCCTGAGTTCCCGTCCTATATTTTCAACACCAGTATAATGATTAATAGCTGTGGTGTTGTTTTTTTCTGAACTGTGGCTTCTTGTCTGCCTCACTTTTTACTTCTTGAGTGATTCTGTGTTTATCCTGATCATTAAATAAATTCTTGCACTGTTTATCTTTTGCACCCAATCTCATCCTTAGGATCTGGTTCACTTTATGTCTGTAATACATGCATTGCCCTATTCGCTGCACCCTCACACCCCACCCTAGTTAATCTATACCATTACCATTATGTTAAACTTGTCTTAAACTTAACACCCTTTAAAAAAAATTGCCTTAATTGCAATTTCTATCATGCCTCTTTTTTCAGCTGCCAGCAGACATGAACGTTTATACCATATGAAGATATGACAGTTGCAAGATTCTCTGCACTTTATATACAGAACATGCACTTTCAGCATTTTATATATTCAGTTAACCAAAGAGAATAATGTGATGAAATCGCATTGTCAGATAGATGTCTTCAAGCAAAGTGCAGTTATTTGTATAGACTGCAGACTAAAGTATAGACTATAAAGAACAAGAGCTTACATGAAAGTTGGAACTGGCATTGAGTCCAGATCATTTTTATTCTTATCTTTATGCTTTAACATGTGGAATAAAAGTGTGTGGCTCAGAAACATTATTTGTCACTTATTTGTTTTATTGACATTTACTCAGATCTGGTTCAGCCACGTGTGATAGGATAGATAACCTGAAGTCTGATCATTCACTGTGTAAGCGTTAATACTACACTGGCTGTCTGAGATGAGAAGTCTTTAACATATTACTCACTGTTAATGTTTAACCTGAACTACAGCACAGTAATGCTTTGATCAATGCTATATGAGAAGAGTAAGTTGAGCTTATAGTACTTGTTGTTACAATCACTAAGAGTATTCAGCAATTGCCTGGTGTCTTGTGTCTTGAATAGGGGTAATCACTTCACAAGGGTCTTCAGGTGGCCACCCTCCTTAGTTGGTGTTTCGTTGGTAGGCCCGCGACATCTCAACAGTGTTCAGCAGCAACACCTGGCATTCCAGGTGTGCCCCCCTCCGCTTTTACCTCTCATGTAGGTTATTTTGCAGACCAGTTGTGGGCCTTCCTTTTCATCCAAAGCCAATTACTGCTTTGCTCAGCAGCCTCTGACAGTGACTTGATGGCATGTCGGAAAGCCTGTCCTCAAACCCCCATACTCGTCAGAAGACTGGTTGATGATGTAGCTACAAATCCTCTCCACCCAACCTCTACAGGGAGCACCTGGGGTGAGGGCCTGCAGGATTGTTCAAGACAGCACTCACCCTTTTCACCACCTGTTCACACTGCTGCCATACGGAAGATGCTATAGGGCCCTGAAATGCCGCACCCCCAGACTGAGTGACAGTTTTTATCCCACAGCCATGCACAGACTGAACACTCTCCCCCAAATCACCCTCCCTCCCCCACCACCATAACAATTTTAAATTGTACTACCATGGACAGATGTACAATAACTGTATATGCACTTAATGTTGTTGTTTTTATAGCACCTTATTTATCATATCTATCTTATCTTAGCCTTATCCTATTTTAATGTGTGGGGATGTGAGTGTGTGTTGAGTGAGTTGAGGAGTTTTATGAGAGACAGCAAATTTCGTTGCATGTGAACATGTAATGACAATAAAGGCATTCATTCAAGACAATAATTGTCAGACAACTATTGTTGTTATAACAAAATAATAACTAAACAAGTACATTCTTTTAAAAAATGGTGGTTTGTTACACTATTTATTTAAGCATGAAGGTTTAAAAATATTTTATTATTATTAAGGTGCTTAAATGTGCCTGCAAGTGACTTGTCTGACCAGTGAAGAATCTGTGTGCAGAATATTTTTCATGTAGAAACTGGGGAAGAAATGTGTAAGCTAGCTGTTTTGGACAGTCCAGTCAGGTTTAAATTCAACATAACAGATCATTAGAAATACATGTTGCATAACAGAGCAGTGAGATTTGTATGGTGTGTTAAAAATAACTCAGAGGGAGGGGAGTTATTTGTTGTCAATAGATAAATGTACTGTATGTCAGTAAACGCATCCTGCTCCAGCACAGTAGGTGGCGCTAATGCGTCGCTATGTTTTAGCAGAGGAAGTCCGGAACGAAGAAAATGTTAGGAAATGCACTTCCGGATTACTTCCTAGTTGTCAAGTTTCAAAAACGAATCGCTTATTATGAAAACATACCGACAGTGTTACTATAAGCCTCTTTAAAGTCAAGCTAAGATGAGAGAAATCGACACTTTGACTTCGCATTTCAGCACAAAGTCGACAAGCTAACGCTAACAAACTTAGCTCCCAGTGCTGCCTGCTAATCGAGTTATACCTCATTGGTTTGTGATGGAGAGGCTAATAACGAAGCTCACGGAAAAACATGTCCTTTTCACGGCTTCCTTTGCTATAAGACTGGCTTTGGTCGCTTATGGAGACTACCAGGATAGGACTATGGTGGTGAAGTACACTGACATCGACTACCACGTCTTCACAGATGCTGCGAGATTCATAACTGAGGTAATAGCAGTGTCATAACTTCTGTCACAGGAGTAAAGCAGCCAGATAAAAGTTGTTTGATGCCTGAATATGTGTCCTGATGTAACACTGGCTAATATTAAAGGGATAGTTATAATCTTATGAGGTGGGTTGTATGAGGAACTTATCCAAAGACAGTATTTTACATACAGTAGATATCAGTCAGCATGCCCCCAGTTTGGAGAAGCAGGCAAGAGTCTGACATGGAAGCAAAGCGGTCCACTGCTGTGAAGGGGTCAGCGACTAAAATGGGTGTCAGCCACCTAAAAATAGTCCAACGCGTTTCCACTGAAAATTCTTCATCAGGGTGTAAAATGCACTGGAAACAGGTGTGCAATTTAAGAACTCATGTGAGGGTCTTGTGCCACAGGTCACATGATATATTGGTAAAGCCCTACTAGACAAAAAACCCCACATAGACAGAAATTGAAAATGAAAATTGACAAAAATGTAAACTATAAATAACTACCACATTTAGTAACAGGAAAAGAGGTTCAATTCCAAATTAATACAAAGGAAACAACAGTGAAATAAAATAAGAATTTTAATATACCATAACAAACCTGCACATAAAGTGGCAGAAACTTAAAGATATAAGATATGTATGACAAGGACAAAAAACAGTATGTGTGAACAGACAACAAACTCATAATGTGTATAAAATTGAAACATTTATAATGTGTAAAACCCATGATAACTAACAGAAGGATTTGACAGTAGGGATAAAGTTAAACCTAACTAGTAAAAGGCAGGAAAAACTTCATAGGGCTTACAAAGGATCACCCCCTATGTATAAAAGTATATTTTAGTATATCTGACTCTCAATCACTGAAGAGCACCTGATGTTTTTTCAACTAACTACACAGAATCTTAACCTGGTGCAGCACTCCCTATTTTTTCCTCATTATCGGTGATTTAACATTGTTAAACACAGGAGCTGCCAGTCTTTCACTGCCTTCAACAATTATTTTGTTAGTGTAATTGTGTGACTTTGGCGTTACAAGGGTGAGTTTGAATTCACTTAAGTCACACCAGATACTAAATAACTGATTGAAACAGCAGTAGAGCAGCAGCTCCTGTGTTCAGCAAGCTAAAATTGCTGTTTTTGTCAATGGAATCTGGTGACTTTGACAAGAACATAGATGAGGAACTGAAGCAATTAACCACTTCCCCATCAGAACAGGCTGTCTGACGAAAAAAGGTAAAGCAGTGGAAATACTTTCAGTATAGCATACACTTAAACTGATTTTCTTTTTAGGTGGGACTTTTTTGTAGATGGCTAAAATACATTCTAGTTGCTGACCCCCATCCAGAGCAGTACATTGCTTAGCTTCTGTGTCAGACTTTAGCCTGCTTCTCCAAACTGGGTGTGTGCTGACTGTCATCTACTGTATGTAATACACTGACTATGGACAAGTACCTCATAAAACCCCAATTCATAAATTCCGCATTATCCCTTTAAGCTAATATAACTTTTACTTCACTAACCTTACTGGCAGTTAAAATTAGCTCCAGCTCGACCAGCTACAACATTAAAGTAGTGCTTATTGCATGGCAATGCATCAATAATAATGATCCAATAAAGGGATAATTTATCACTGGCTGGGGCCACTCTACATGAGTATTTATTATACTTTAAGTATGTTGCTAATACTTGTGTTCTTTACTACATCATTTCAATGTGGGAAACTTTTCCACAGGGGAAGTCCCCATACAACCGATCAACCTACCGCTATACTCCTCTCCTCGCCTGGCTGCTCACCCCTAACATCTACCTCAGCATGGTATTTGGCAAGATCCTCTTCATAGTGTGTGATGTGCTGTCAGGACTACTCATTTACAGAATCCTCCTCCTGAGGGGTCTGAGCTCTGAGGTATGTTTTCAAACTTTTTTATCAATCTGTTTCTCATTGAGTAGAAATCTTTGGATAGTTTATTTAAAATTGCTGACTACAGTTGTGAATATCTCATTCATTTTGTCCAGTAAAACAACAGTTTAGTGGCTTCTTGAAAATGCACAGTGCAGATTAAGTTGTGTTTTTGTGGGGATTTATGTTCAGACTGCTCGTCGTGTTTGTTCTCTGTGGCTCCTCAATCCGCTGCCCATGGGAGTGTCCAGCCGAGGGAATGCTGAGTCAATCCTGGCAGCCCTGGTGCTGGGGACAATACTTTGTATGGAAGGTAAGGATGTGAATATTGTGTGTTTGTGTGGAGCTTCAGAGCTTCAACATGACATTTTAGTTCTGCAGAATAATGTAGCATTTTTTTTTAATCTTTTTTCTTCTAGCCCGGCATCTGATGTGGGCAGCCATACTCTATGGTCTGTCAGTCCATATGAAGATCTACCCTGTTACATATGCTCTGCCCATTGCTTTGACGCTGCGCACCCCAGAGACCACATCAGAGGAGGGCAAAAAGAGGTGGAGGAGGTTCACTGGGTTTATAAGAAGCTTCTTTAACCGTGAGCTGTTCCTCTTTGCAAGTGTGGCCGGAGGAGTTTTCTGTATGCTCACAGCGCTCTTCTATTACACGTGAGATCAACAAAGAAATGACACACAAGCACACACAGTAACATGTCTTCACTGTGGCTGTGATTTTGGTTCCGTTGTGCAAGTAGAAAAAGTTCAGGGAACTTATTTTTTATTTAGCTGGTAACACAAGTTGTGGATATTCATCACTGATATAAATTGCTGGAAAAAAAAACAATGTCCTAATGTCATTTTAAATGATTGACTGTCATTTTGGAACATTTTAATCTGGTTCTAAAGTTAAGTACTTTGTCAGTCTGGCTAGATATATTAAAATTCACTGTAAAGTCATCACTTATCTGACGTAATATATAAAAAATATATACTTTAATAACTTTGTATGGAAACGCTCAAATCATGTGACTCCTCTCCTGTATTTTCAGGTATGGATGGGAGTTCCTTCATGAGACCTACTTGTACCATCTGACGAGACGAGACATCAGACACAACTTCTCTCCATACTTCTACATGCTCTACCTGACATCAGGTATTCACTACTAGAGACATTTATAGCCTCCTAATGTGGCACCTTGCTGCAGACAGAACAAAGACCA